TATATATAAATCTATAGATAATTTATAGATAAAATACGTGTGCTGAAAATACTCTCTTTGCTAGTATGTCTTAAAACTGTATGTTTTCAGTATTGTTTGTTATTAAAAAAAAAAAAAAAAAAAAGCCCAAGCCAATGAAAAGGGCTGCTGCTTTATCTAGTGAAAGTTTAATGCTGGCTGCAAACACACCTGGACTTCACAGATGTAGTAACTGAAGATCCGGGAGGGAAGGAAATATGAGACTGAATATGTATGCTGTTTCCAGAATTAAAAGTGCAAGTTTCACCAGTTGTGGTCGCTTTCCATTAATCTTTTCCTAAATTGTAATGATTGTGAAATAGAAAAAGATATATGGGCTTTAGCAGCAGTAAGTCAGTATATTTCAAATCGCTGTTTAATCTATTGTGTTCATCTAGTCTTAATTTCGTTTGAATCTTACATAAAGATAATGGAGTGTTCCTAACTACTGTGCTTAAAAACTCAAGGTGTCTCACCTGAATTAAACAAAGAAGACTCATCTTGATTAAACAGTCTGATTAAAAAGCAACATTTGACTAGTTTCATGTGTTGGAACGTAGTATCACCTTCCATTAAAACTCACTGATATCAGTAGCGTAAGCTTAAGTGATTTGCTGGTTTGGCATCTCAGTGGGCCTTCAGTGGAACTGCTACCTACGTGCAAGGAACGCAAAGTTTGGCTTGCTGGTAGTATAAAGGGAAGACCGCAAGATAGAAGGAATTTTTTAGTACCAAAAGGATTGGGAAATGGAGTTGGTAAACGTTGTTAGGTACTTCTGAACTACAGAATGATATTTGATAGCTACAGTAAGTAATTTGTTGAACTGCTTTGGAGAGTCAGAGTTCTGAGATCTGTCCAGGTGAGCAAAAATTTCCTGTGGAGTTAAATAGAGGATAATGTGCTGGAACATTACGAGGATGTTTTTCACATAATCTGACAATATCTTGCCATGGCAGTAGTGCTAGATGAATTAATATTTGCTGTAAAATGTGGAAGATAGTAGTAGCAATGCTTAATATTTATAGTTTAACCAGCATTAAGCAATTCCAGATTAATCCAAATAAACTATCTTTGGTTGTTTTGGTTTTTTTGTTTGTTTTTTTTAAATGGCAATATCCCCTTCCAGTGTCACTGCAGGACATTACAATGAGAAAAGCCTTCCGGAGTTCCACAATTCAAGATCAACAGCTGTTTGACCGCAAAACTCTGCCTATTCCTTTGCAAGAAACTTATGACATTTGTGAACAGCCTCCTCCGCTTAACATTCTCACCCCTTACAGGTTAGTAAAATAAAATTAATCAAAAGCCTTTTGTAGCTTATTTTATGTAATAGAGATACTCTATCTAGGCACATTGCTCGTGTTGAGTAGCACTTGAATATTTAAGGAGCCACATTAGAAAACTGTGAAGCTTCTGGCGGAATGCAAGCAGCAGAGGACATTATAAGCGTTAAAACTTTACTGCACTTCAAGTGGTAGAAAAAATCCATTTTTTTTTTTTTACTCTGTATTTGTTGAACTGTGTAATGCTCTTGTATGTGAAGTGAAGAAAATAAGCAGTTAAGTATGTAGAAAGATCTTTAATGGAAATTAATGTTGTTGCTATCACAAAGTCAGTTCCTTTCAGTAGTTGAACATGGGCAGCCACACACATTTGCTTATTATTTGAGAACAAGATTTGAGTCATTGGAATGGGAGTTCTCTGATTTATGATACTCTTTTTTTATTTACAGCTTGTGTTAAAGTTACTTTTTTAAAATCAGGACCTTGAATACAATAAAAGATAGTAAAGAATGATGGCACAGGAGGTCAATGTTCATCTTTTTAATGTTCTTCGGTAAAATATTTCAGGGTCTGAGATACTAGGTATTCCTTAATATGCCTTTCCTTTGCCTTAAAGTTTGGATTCATGTGTTGTCAAATAAATACTATGCCCTGTTTGTGTCATTGTATTTCAGAGATGATGGAAAAGAAGGTTTGAAGTTTTATACCAATCCTTCATACTTCTTTGATCTGTGGAAGGAAAAAATGTTGCAGGACACTGAGGACAAAAGAAAAGAAAAGAGGAAGCAGAAGGTATATCTGTTAGTTTTATATAGCTTGTGATGTTTTTTCCTGGAGAGGTTTTACTTGCAGATATGGTACTTTTTGGTTATGCAATTAATAACAATGCAGACTTTACAGAGTCATCTTCATTCAAGTAAAACTACATGTATTCATTCAATTCCATCAACTTTAACAAATAAGTATTCAATAATAATAATAAAATAATATAGAAGGGCCTAGAGCTTTTATGCTGTCTTAATGTAACTAACAGCAGGTTTGCCAAAATTTGTAAGTCTTCTAGCAATGACTCAAAAAGGAGAAAAAAGGAGGAATACAGCAAGTAAAGAATTTCACTAGAACACTTTTATATAATACAAAATTCTGACAATCTGACAGATGAAAAAGCTTGAATGACATTCGAATAGATATGTTTACTCTAAACTAGAAAGGAATTAGTAGGAATAGGGCACTTTGTTTTTATTTTCTTGAATTTAAACAACCACTTTTGCAAAGGTAATGCTACTTTTTGTTTCACCATGATTCTGTATATTTCATACATAGACGCAGTAAATATAAGTGTCAGATTCATAATTTCATTTCAGACTTAGAATAAAAAGCTACTTATACAGTTATTTTTCTCTGTATTATTCAGCTAGTTCTTCACTAGGTTGGAGTTTCTGCCTCTTACAAGTCTTTTTGGTTTACGTATCATATTTAGACCGAAAGTACATTTTTCTTGCACTTGAATTGGGATTGTTTTTCATTATTTTGTGACTGATGTTTAAATGCAACTAATTAAAAGACAGTGTCTTAGTTGTCAGTTTTGTTTGCACAACTCTCCTACAGCAGAAAAATCTAGATCGCCCTCATGAACCAGAGAAAGTGCCAAGGGCACCTCATGACAGACGGAGAGAGTGGCAGAAGTTAGCCCAAGGTCCGGAGCTCGCAGAAGATGATGCTAACCTCTTACATAAGCACATTGAAGTTGCTAATGGCCCAGCTTCACATTTTGAATCAAGGTTTCTTTTTTTTTTTTTCCCCCCCCCTATCCTTTATTCAGTACAGATATTCATACTACATAGTGAACATGCTTGAGAAATGGTAAATGATGAGATGCTACTGCTATTCTTGAAATGCACTGGAAATCATTGATTTAGCTCAATCAAAACTCAGTTTTAAAATACCTAGTCAGTGTGTCCTTAAAAGAATAGCTATTATCTTGGGTTTTTTAAGAGTAGTGTGTATCCTTGGAATTCATTGTATCCTTGAGGATGTGTTGTCATCTGCAACTTGAAGAAGGTGTAGCGTCGCTTCTGCAAGTTTGCACCCAGGTGTGTCACTACATTCCAGTCCTGACCTACAAAATCCCTATTATTCTAGTCTCTTGGTTTTTTCTTCAGTAGATGCTGCCAAGACTGTAGGGTGGGTGTGATGTGAACAAACATCCACTTGGAACTCAGATGAGATCACTGAGCTTCTCTTTACTCTTGAGCAAATCCAAGATTTGATTGACATTTCTGGTTATAGTCCATTACAAAATCCAACCTGTTGGATTCTCATTTCGCAGCATGAATTTGCTGGTGGCTAAAAGTAGCATTTCCACATTTACCACATTTACCACGTGGTAAACACCTGCTGTGTTTGTACTTCTGGTGTTTGTGCAAAACCAGCTGAGAAACTTCTGATAGGAACGAGGGCTGACAACTTGTATTAGGAGTTTTGGTGGTGTGCTTTTAGGGGGTTGTTTTGTTTGTTTGTTTTTTAATTAAAAAGTGTTCCTTGTCCTCCAAAAAACAATTAAATTTTTTTCCCCTATCCTTCACTGGCCAAAAGCACCGTAACAGACTATTTTGTTTAGCTTTGTAAGGCCTTCAGACAAACTTAATAGTGATAGTGGATAATTATCAACAACTCTAGGAGCTAGTGTTTTCTGTATGAAAAATGGAAAAGCCTGTTTGTAGAAAATTTAGCGCTCTGAATTTAGAAAGTAAAGATGGTCTCAATGCATTTCAGTCAGTGGGATACAACTCAAGTTACGGTGATTACCATTTTTCTGGGAACACCTTTATAGTGTCTTTTCTTTGTAAACTACTGTGTCAAATCGTTGGCAGAAACATTGCTTGCCTGCTGTCCTTCTGTTGTGTTGTACATCAGATTCCACATTAGGCGCACTTGTTGCAGGACTCCTTTTGTATCCAGGACCATGGCCTAAACTTTATCTCAGTACTAGTAATGCAGTTGTGAATAATGCTGTAGTGCTTGGGACCACTACATGTGCAGAGTATGTCGTTCAGATACAGAACAGCACCGTGCTTTTGAGTAACAGAATAAGACTTCACTCCCGAAGAATTTAATAGGTTAGATACAACAGTGGTGTATGTGGAATACCTAGGGTACTCCTTTGCTTGTCGGAAAGTGTTCTGTGAACACATTTCCTCTGAATTTAATAGAGACATTTTTAAAAATTTTTAATTGAATAGTTAATTAAAATTTCCTAACTGATCAGGTCCTTAAGGTGTGTCTAAAGTTGTCATTAACAAGGAAGGTGAATCCTTTTAATCTGTAATTATCTTTATTTACTGCTACTACTCAAGAGTAGATACTTAGATTATTTTATCTGTTGTATAGCTACAAAGTGTAGGTCTAGAGTAATGGGTTCTCTCTACTGGAATACTTCTCTGGCAGAAGTTCAGCTAAATTACTCAGTTGTAAATTCTACTGTTCTAACATCGATGGCTGTTTCATAAATGTTATAAAAGAATATGGTTGCATGTATGTAGGGATTGAGGAGCAGAAACGATTACTGATTATAATGTCTGTTTCATAATACACTCTGGTATATGTGTACTTCTGATCGTATTGCTACATTTACTTAACTCAAAATAATGTGACTAATAAACACTAAGATCACACACATACTGTAGAAATTGTCTGATATACCTGTCAAAAGCTTTAAACCCTTGAGCTGCTAGAAGCAATGGCATAGAAAGTGAGATAAATTATTAAAAAGCCATGAAGTACAATATGCAACATTGGTGCAGAGAAGATACTTGAATTCAGAAATCAAACAAGTATAGAGCATTACTTTCACTAAAGCTTACATTGGATCATTTTTCACTATTTTTCTACAGATCTCAAGCCTATGTGGACCATATGGATGGATCATACTCACTTTCTGCATTGCCCTATAGCCAGATGTCTGAACTTCTGAACAGAGCTGAGGAGCGAGTGTTGGTCAGACCTCATGAACCACCACCACCACCTCCAATGCATGGAGCAGGCGACGTGAAACCTGTGCCTCCTTGTGTTAGGTATGAAGTGGTCAAGCCACATGCAGATTTATTGGAGGGTTTTAGTTTTCCACCATCCCCCTAATGGTCCATGAGTATTATTTCCATGCAGCCCAGGCAGTACACACATCCTTGGGGCTGTGTCAGTCCACAGCCCTGATGCATCCACAGCTGCAGGGCCATGCAGGAGTTGGAGAGAAACGTCAGAATCTATACCCCGTAGGCTGCCATTGTGGAGAGAGGCCTTGCCTTGCCATTAATACAGTGACTATGTTACCTTCGGAGTTAAATGGCAAGACAAAAAACTGTATGGAAAGTATTTCTGTGAAAGATGTTGGAATCTCAGGATTTAGCTTTGGAATTTTGGAAATTTAACATTTCCAAAATCTGAAGTAGTACCAGTAGTACAAATCTGATATTTGTACTACTATGCTGTGTTTCAGCCTACATGAAAGGAAGACTATATCACAGTAAGACAGTCAACTGTCAAAACCATATATTCATCACATTTGCTAAGTTGCAACTGCCTTTTTTTTTTTTTTTTTCTTCCCCCAAGTGTTTTTATCTTCTGTTTCTCTATGCCTTTCCAGAACTGGATACATACTTAGAGCATTTTCTAGAGTGAGGCTCTGGTTGTCACTCCTCTGTTGTTTTATACCCAAAATCTTAACTTTATGGTCAGGTACATACAACTTGGAATGGAGGACAGTTAATTCACACAGAGTTGCTACATCAGCAAGATGTTAGTCTCTTGAAAAGATTTTTTTTGTGTGTGTGTGTTATGCACAGAAATGCATAACTCTTTAGATTAATTTTCCACAACAGATGAAAGAAATCCTCTAGTGGTATTTCAGGAAAATAATTTTACTGTTCCCTTTTGTTTGCTTCAGTTAACCTATTCGTTGCACTATGAGTGTAGAGCATATCAATATACCTCTCTGTACGAAGAATTTATGACCTTTGATACTAGCCTCACTCACCCTGTCATTAAACCTAAAATACCTATTTCAAACGTAGCTCATCCTCATTGTTTGTGCTGTTTTGTTTTTAAAGTTCTGTGAATTGAAGCAATTAATCAACTGCTAGTTCCCTTAACTTCAGAAAAATAATTCGGATTTCCTTAGGGATGGGAGGGGAGAATTATACTAGTATAGGAAACCTTTGATGAAGACGCAGGTCTGTGTAAGAGTATCAGCTCAGTTAATTGAATTTGAGCAAAAGTCTATTGGAAGACTGATGCATACTCCATACTGAGAATTAGATTTCCTTGTATATGAGGTGTGAATAACTTGAAATCATCATAGTACATGGTGCTCTTTAATGCCCAGCATTCAATATTCTTAAGTTGCAGAAATGAATCTATTACTATTTTTCTCACTCTCCAGCTCTAATAACTTTGTCCTGTTCTCAAATATTTTTCAGTTCCGCTACTGGCTTGGTAGAAAATCGTCCTCAATCACCAGCAACAGGCAGAACACCAGTGTTTGTGAGCCCCACTCCTCCTCCACCACCACCACCACCTCTTCCATCTGCTTTGTCAACTTCATCCTTAAGAGCTGCAATGACTTCCACTCCTCCACCGCCAGTCCCACCTCCTCCCCCGCCTCCCACGGCGGCTCTGCAGGCCCCAGCTGTGCCACCCCCACCAGCTCCTCTCCAGATAGCACCCGGAGTCCTACATCCAGCTCCACCTCCAATTGCTCCTCCCCTGGCACAACCCTCTCCTCCTGTCACTCGAGCTGCCCAGGTGTGCGAAGCTGTACCAGTTCACCCAGTTCCTCCACAAGCTGAAGTACAGGGACTTCCCCCACCGCCTCCACCACCTCCCTTGCCTCCTCCTGGCATTCGACCCTCCTCTCCTGTCACCGTTGCAGCCCTTTCTCACCCTCCTCCTGTTCTGCACCCTCCTCCCACGACCGTTGTCCCTGGCCCTCATGCCCCCCTAATGCCCCCATCTCCACCGTCCCAAGTGATTCCTGCTCCTGAACCCAAACGCCACCCTTCAACTCTTCCCGTAATCAGCGATGCTAGAAGCGTTCTGCTGGAAGCAATACGGAAAGGTAACGTTTGGCTATTACAGGGCAAAAAGAACGGTCTCAGAAATTTGCTAAATACGCATTGAGAGATGGAATATTCCACCTAAGAAGTTAGTTTAGAGGAATGCATCTTAGGTCTGTTTCTGCGTTCTGTTCTCTACAGCGTATGCACTGCCAAGTAGATGGATTTTTTTTTTTTTTTTACACTATGTAATTGCGCTTATCAGATGTGTAGTTTGGATGGCAAAACTGGTTCTCTGTGGAAGTGAGATTTTTATTAAAAAAAGTACGTGTGATTATAGATGATCTGTGGAGATTATCTCCTTATTTCTGTTTACCTGAAAATGCAGCTATTTCTGATAACCTACAGATTGTGTAGAAGAAAAACGTTGTTTTTCACAGACTGTTAGATAAAAGCAGATCAGATCAACTTGCATTGGAATTTTGATCATATATCAATGTATTACAGCAACATGTAAATGTCACTCAGAAATCATTGCTTAAGACTTAAGTCCGTTAAGCATCTGATCTGGACAAGTCTCAACGCAGTAGTGGAGCAGTCTCTACATGGCGGGGTGCCCCGCTTGGCAGAGTGCAAGTGAACGGCAGAGGTGCAGGGCAATGTTTTCCTGATGATCTAGCGAGGAGCTGTATGTACAAGCTGTACCTTTCAGCTTACGTGCCCACGGCCAGAAAAATCCCCACTGCACTGTGAGTGCTGCTCTTTGACTGAGTGCCATCTTTGAATAGTTAATCTTTCTCAAATGTTTCGAGTACCACATTCTTCTGGCTTTCCCCTGCACCTTCAACACAGTACAGAATCTATGTGGTACAGTAATATCAGTAGGTAGGCTATAATACTAATAAAAAAAAATTAAAGCATCTATATGCACATGACTCTAAAGAAGTATCAACAGCCATTGAGTACAACTGGGGGTGCATGAACATGAGTAGAGAATGTCAGAAAAAAAACTTAAGAAAGGTGAGCCTTCCGGTACAATTTCGGTGATTCCTGAAAACGCTTTTGACCAAGTGGTGTACAAGAAGCAAAGGCTCAAGTTGCCACAGCTTAAATTTCCGTAAGGACCTGTGCTTGTGTTGCCTGTCAGTTGACAACAGAGAGTATTAAGTACAGGATGTAGGTCTTATTTAGACTCTGTCAGTCTGTGGTATCGTGAGTATAAAACCAAAATACATAATCTCTGTCATGTTTTTAACTAAGTTACTTTCTCATACTATTTGTATATGTTATTTCTCCTTGGTGTTTGATCTTTAAGTAATACTTTATCCCAAACCAGATTATTACATGATCAAAACTGAGTTACAAGAAATCCTGTCTTGTTAGGATACTCAAATAGCTATAACTTTTAATTGAGACCATGAAGAGAGAGTATAAAAATTGTTTGGAAATGCAAATAGTAAAATGACCTAATTACTTACTGTGGTACTAAAAATGTGGGTGTGTTTTTAATGGGAAGTCTTTAATTAACTTTAAATAACTTCATTTAAAAAGCAGGATATTATAGTAGAAGGACCGATTACCTAATCTGCCATTGCAATTCTGACATTCCTCTCTTTAAAAACTTGACAGAGAACTTCTGTCTGAGGAGGATGATGTTCCTCAGCCTTCGTTTTTGCTTGCAAAGCATTTTGTGAATCATGAGCTAAATACTTTGCATAATGGTAAAGGAGGAGAGTAACATGTTTGTGATTTGATGTTCTTTAGGTATTCAGCTACGCAAAGTTGAAGAGCAACGTGAACAAGAAGCTAAACATGAGCGCATTGAGAATGATGTTGCTACTATACTTTCTCGTCGCATTGCTGTGGAATACAGCGATTCAGAAGATGATTCAGAATTTGATGAAGTGGATTGGTTAGAGTAAAATTCTTACATTGCTGTACGCTGCAAAATCGAATGCTAATGTCCATTGTGGTGCTTGTTCTTTGAAAGTTTGATGGTCATTTCTGGTGTTTTTTGTATTCTTTTCTTTACATAATTAATCCATGTTTTTCTACTTTTCAGTTTACAAAAAGCTCCTAGTGCATCTTTGAAACTAAATGTTTTACAGTGGCTTTTCTTACACATCTTTTTTGAAAGAACATACTTTGTTCCAGTAGACCACTAAGTATTAAGCATGGGCAGCTGTTGGTAGAGTAGCAGTTTCAATTTTTTGGCATATCTTAACTGTGCACTTTGTGAATTTTAAGTTAATGAAGGCAACTGAGATTGACATTCCAAAGGCAGCTGTGTATGTACTAATGAGCCTTATTCCACTTCTGATAGTGTTTTAAAACATTAAACCTAGCTATCAAGATATCACTGCCTCGATTACATCTGTACACTAAAAGTACATATAGTAGCAGCACTGAACACACTGAAAGGAAAATGGATCTTTTGGGGGGGGGTATTATTGTTTTATTGTTGTTTTAAAATAATTATGGCCTTATTTGAATGTTTAGAGATTCCCCTTCCCTTCTTCCCTCCCAGGTACATATTGTGTGGTACTATTTTTGCCTGCATAATGAAAGTTTAATTTTTTTTTTTCCTTGTGAAATCTTTTGACTTAAACATGCTGTGTAACTTATGTAACTGTTAAAATAACAGTTTGATTTAATAAATGGTTCATTTTAAATGTTCTTGGTTGTTGCTTTTTCAGTGAGGCCTGCCTTTCACTGGTATACCTGAGGGATCCTTGGATTGCCAAGATTTAATCGGTGGTCTACAAAGTTACAATAAATATTCTGCACTTAATCTAAGGACCCATATTAAACAAGAAAACGTATCATCAAATGATATCTACATGCCTATCTATGAAAAAAGCTGAAATATTACAGTGATTCATTAGTTAAAAAAAAAAAATTGGGAGCTGGTGGCTTGTATGATTTAGAGTTGTTTTTTTTAAAAAAAGATGTTACCATCAGCGTATCGTGAGAAGAGGAGATGCAGCAGTCAAAATCACGGTTAATGAAAGATGACAACACAGGAGATGCTGCAAAGTCATTTTTTAAGTGCTATCTAGCAATGTACTGCACGTTGCGTAGGGCTTTTGTTTTCCCTTCTTTGGGGTAACTCCTTCAGGTCTGAGCACACCATCAAAAGCCTGTTGGGAAGGGAAGTGTGAGAGAGCACAAGAGCACTCTTCCTTGCAAACCCATTCCTGGAAGATGGAATTGTGTAATAGAGGAAAACAAGTGTTGAAAGTCAGAACAAGATTTCTGAAGGTGGAACATGAAACGTTGCACGGTCTACAGAACAATTTAGAGAGGCACGTGGTTATTAACCTGCTCCTGGAACTGGGCAAAACTCCAGAGGTACAGGCTGGGGTAGGAAAAGCATACAGCAACCCTTCCAACTTTACTGTCACCATCTCGGCCTCCGCTGTGATTTTATACATGACCTACTATATTCAAGACTTTTCCCACTGCAACAGTAATGACTTTCTTGTGTTTGTGGGAGAAAAATCATTGTCACAGTTTGTGAATCTGCATCTTTGCAACTATGGATGCAGTTCTTCTCTATACGCTATTCTCTTTGGTAGTTGTCTTCGCAGTAAGGCCATCTGGTTTATTCTGCCGTTCTCAAGTTAACTTTCAATGTGCGTGTCCTTAATAGCTCCTCGTAAGTGTTAAAGAAAAGATGTCAGAAGCACAGCTGCATGAATATTGGGTAGCGTTTAATCTAGGTGTTTCCTTGGATTTTACTAATCCTAAATTGCCAGATCTGGCCCAATAACTAAATGTGAGAGATCTCATTTACACAGCTGAAAAGAATTGGTCTCTTCAAGCAGAAGTGCAGTATAGATACAGTGCAGTATAGATACTGCAGCTCACCTTTAAGCAGGGTGCCACATGCACCTTTTAGGCACAAGCTCTTCTTTCAGCTGTCTACATTCCATGTGTAGGTAGTTCATTTGCCATTCACAAAAACACTTTTCAACTGGTGTTTATACCTGTTCCTTGCTGAAGTCTCTAAACTCTTGATTTTCCTGGTGGATATTACAGATAGCAGCCTACACCGTCACTTAAATGGAGCAGCAGCAAGTATGTGCCCAGGCTATACCTGTTCAAAGTTGAGATGTCTAGGTATGCTCTGAGCATGTCCAGGCACTGTGAACTGGGTATTA